CGCTGTCCTGCTGAGTTTAGCTGTAGTTTGCTTCAACACACCTGCCAGGAAGTTTCTAGCACATGCAGTAAGAGCTCGATCAGCTGTTCAGGTGTGTTTGATTAAGGTTGGAGCTCAACTCTCCAGATAACCCGCCCTCCAGGACCGAGTTTGGACACCCCTGGTGTTGAACATCTGGTCAGTCACAGTAGTGATGTCTCTGCAGTGTTGACTCCTGTTAGCAGCAGGTTTAAAGCCTATCTTCATTGGCTTGTTAGCTAGCTTAAAGATGAGCTTGATGCTAACCTACTGCTCAGGGGTGTGTTTCCGAAAACCATTGTTAGCCAACTAAGGTCGCAAGTTGTGTCGTTACAAACATAGCTTGTTGATTTGCTGTTTTTCAAATCCGTCAGTCCAATGAACATTTGCAAACTGCGTCGCAAACTTGTGCATTTACAGCTACACCTCTGGAGCTGTAGTTAGTTAGAAACGGAGTTCCTGGCTGTGTTCTAATCCCGTGTATCCCCCTATACCCTATTCATTTAGAACAGTCATCATTTACACTTGAGATGATCACTTTTTAAAGCATTAAGCTCGTCTCTCTTAGCTGTAATTTGCTTTCAAACTATTTCCACAGCAGTTTTAGCGATCTTCATGTTTAGTGTTGTGTTCCCTTCACAGTGCACTTATGACACATTGATGTCATTTTGAACACAGCCGTGGCTCATGGTAAAGCTATAGGTGACCTGTGATTTACAAGCAGAGTTTGTTACGTCTGCAAAGCTTATAAAAGCAAAACACACAGCATACGCTAATGCTTTGATTTATAGTAGGTTATTGATGAAGTGTCTGTACTGGACATGACATGACTCTGCTGGCCAGAACACTTCTGCAGTGTTTACATGCGTCACTGTAAAAGTAGACCTTAAAAAACAAACAAACAATATCCTACTTGATGATAATTATCATCATCATTGATATTATTATTAAAGTAGGGTTTTTCCTTTCCTAATAAATAGCTAATTCTGCGACAGAAACTATGGGTTTTGGGAAACACTCGTCACTACATCCTGCTTCTCCTAAATGATGAATCATAGTCCAGCTGTGAGTTACGCCAGTGTTTGGGAAACGTGGCCCGGAATAGCAGAATCCTCCATGCTGGTGTTCAGTGAGTGGCGTTTCTCTTCATGCGTTCATCTTCGCAGGTCTTGCCACATCCTTCTTCAATGATAAGAACGGCAACATCACCAAAGACCTGCTGGACATCCTGGTGGAGGCCAAACAGGAAGTGCCGTCGTGGCTGGAGAGTCTGGCGTATGAGCACCAGCACAAGAGCAGCAGCCGCGGACGCTCCAAGAGGTACGCAGACGTGCTGCTGTCCTTCCCTTCAGCTCCAGCTCTCTCGACTTGAGTGTGAAGAGTCCGAGTTAGAGCTCGGTTAGCTGCTCGCGCTCCTGGTGTTAGCAGCGCTGTGGAGGATTGAGCGGGTCGTCTGTGATTGGACGGTGGCGCTGACTCTGCTGTGCTCCTCAGGTTTTCTGGAGGGTTTGGAGCCAGAGACTACCGTCAGAACAGCAGCAGTGGCGGCGGAGGCTTCGGGGGCCGCGGCGGACGCAGCACTGGTGGACATGGAGGGAACCGAGGATTTGGCGGTGGTAAGGGTCGGTTTCGCTCCCAGTGCCCTCATTGGGGAGCGCACGCTGCTTTATTCCTGTGGTGATCATCAGTGTGTGCATGCTAACGCTAACGCTGTGTGTTTCTGCCCGCAGGAGGATTCGGAAACTTCTACAGCAGCGACGGCTACGGCGGAAACTACTCCCAGGTGGACTGGTGGGGGAACTAGTGGCGCCGCGGCGTCTGTGCACTCCAGCCACACACTTACACACACACACACTTACACACACACACTTACGGTGGACCACCACGCCAAACACACCGAGCGGAAACCACATGTACCCTAGCCAGACTCCCCTGTAGCTGCAGGAGCTGTGCAGAGCATTAGCAGCGGTGATTCTCGGAGCGCTGCGGCGTTAGCGGAGCCGGACGCTAGTTCTCCACTACATCAGTTCTTTCCCCCGAGTGAGAATCATCAGTTTGTTAATGTGCTGTGCCTTTACACTTACACTCGCTGTGTTCTCCTCCTCTGTTTTGGTTTTAATGTCTGGCTGATGATTATTTTAGCTTCTCTCCTCTTTCGTTCCCCCTGAAGATTTGTTTGGGACTGTTTATCAAAATAAGCTTGGATGTAGTCAAACCTTGGCAAACTCTGGGACGGTGTGTCGTGTTTAGAGCTGAAATTGAGGTGCGCAGTGCTCGCGCCGCCCCCTGCTGGGCTTTACTATTACTGAAGGAGAAGGAGATCCGCTCGCTCTGTCCTCAGGCGAGACTCCCGTGTCTGCGGTCGACCGGACTCTTCTCTTCCTCCCGTCGGCGTAACGGCTCCTGAAGCCCAGCTCGTCTCTGAAGAATCCGCATGCTAGTGTTGTTGTTTTTTGGTCAAGGAGAGTTACGAACAGATTCTGCAGCAGGCTTTACGTTCGTTACCGTAACATCCGTCACCTCTTAATTTCCATCAGATGATTTCTTTATTTTCTCTCTCTTTTTCAAGCTGCGTTGAATTCCGAAAGACATCCTCGGCTTTACTCTGGAGACGCGACGCCCGCGAGTGTGTGTGTGTGAGAGTGTGTATGAGGGTGTGTGCGTGCGTGTGTGTGTGTGTGTAGCGGAGCGGAGCGTCCTGCCAAAGACAGGTTCTCTGGCGTTAAACTGAAGTGCAATAGTTTCCTCAAGCGTGTTGTGCCTTTGCATGAGCGAGCGGCGGTGGCGCCCCCTGTGGACGGCCGCCGGCGGTGTGGAGCTGACTTGAGAACAGCGGTGCTACTTTTGGCCCTTCTGTGTTTCACCCATCGAGTTTTACTGAAGTTGTTTTATTGCACATCTAGGGTTTTATATAAGTGTGTCGAGTGCGTGTCCGTACGCTTCCAAATACTGTGTGTGGAGACGGTGGAAGAAGAAAACTAACTAAACGCAGCTTGTTTACAAAAGGGGACGGTTCTCCAATAGTTAACCAGGACTGATTTGGGACCAGGGGGATTAGCAGTGGGGAATTTAGCTATTTGCACAGATTACTAGATTCTACTTTTGCTGCTAGTTTGTGTAATTTATTGAGCATTTTTGAGAAATATTTATTTTTATAAGCCTAAAAGTGATAGTTTCAAGTAACTTGACCAAAAGACAGTACAAAAACACTGGCACTTGAATGTTGAATGTCACCCGTATGCGTGGAATTTATATTTTTCGGGGTAGTGTGAGCTTTTTAATGTTTAAGGTCGTTTTGGACTCGGCCAGAATCCACTTCTTCGGTCGTTTGGTTTCGCCGACTGAACGCTTCGATCCGATCAATCGAGCTCTGAATTGGCTTCCAAATTGCGAACGCTAAACAACCATGCCAAGGTTTGGGAAAAAAGTTACAGAAATATTTTTGTAAGTGTGTATCAGTGCAAAGTGTTCAGATCCTCCGGTTCTTTTGTGTTCTTTTGGTTTGTTTTGTTGGTTTTCCTCCAGTATTTGTGTTGGGTTTGTGTCTGTACCCCCAGTGACTGTCTGGCACACGGCAATCTTCAATATCAGAAACATGTGGTTCTTCTCTATGGTTGCATTGCATACTGGGCCGCGGCGGCGGTGTTCTCTGACAGGTTTGGCCTGACGTTCAGTCTTAAGTGCGGCAGAGCGGCCCGAGGGTGCAGTTAGTCCACCGGATCATGTGACAGAACACCGCCCGAGCCCGTAGCGTTAGAGTATTTGCTTTATGTACTAGATTAGAGGCTGTGCACTGCACGAAAAAAACAACCATTAAATGTGTTTATTGTACGATTTTACCAAATTAAACTTGGAAATAGCAAACACAGAATCTCTGTCATCTATGAGGTGTGTGTGCGCGCGTGTGTGTGTGTCTTTCTGTTGGGTGAGGGTTTGTTCACTCGGTAAACTCTAGATTGACAGTGTATGTTGTGGATGTCCAGAATGGTGTGTGTGTGTCTGAGTTTAACCCTTTATAATTCTGCATCTACAGCTCATCCGTGGCTTATTTGATATCACTTGTGGTCCGTTTTCACTGAGTGGTATGGTTCGGTACGCTTTTATGGCCATTTCCACTGTCAAAGGGTATTTAAAAGTGAAGCACAGGAGTGAACACAAAGGAAGCGGCATCTTTAAACACCGCTGAGACATCACACCTTAATAATTTACACGTATGATGACCATCCATGGTCGACCCGAGCTCAAACTGACCGAGTCGTTGTCTTGGTGTACAGCCACAAAGCCAAGAAGAGTGAGCGTGAGCGGTTTGCCCTTCTCCAGAGAGCTCTCCACGCATCTAATATCAGAAATAACGAGCTTTGTGAGCTCATATTCATCATGTGGGGTGATCACTGAAGCGCTCTGATATCTGATCTTTTCAGAAGTGGACAAACGTGAGCGTGAAGCACGAAACACAAAGGAGAAGATGAAAAAACAGCAGCAAACGATGCGTCTGCAGCCTCAACCATGAACACACTGCCCTGTTTAACCATTATCATCATCAGCAGCAGCTTCTGGACTGTTCTGAGCTGGGAATGAGGGAATCCTCTCCGGCAGAGGCTGCGTGTGTGTGTGTGTGTGTGTGTGTGTGTGTGTGCAGTTTATCTGTAATTACTTGCATATCAGCAGGGCCAGACAGAATCTGCGGATGATTTCTGCTGAGAACTTTGGTAAAAATCTGCTGAATTATTTCAGGAGTAATAAAAGGCTTAAGTGAAATCAAAATAACATCTATTTAATTTTCGCTTTCATTTAATGTTTACGATGCAAATCCAGTTAATTTCACTTTTAGTAAACAAAGCAAGTCGTAATAAATCTACTAAAATGAAATATGACTACACACTGTACATAAATCAGATGAACATGTTCATATTAGTCAATATTACTGTAATTAATTAAAAAACTAAATGAATATAGATTTACACACATTTACTCTAGTAAATAAACAGAATTTACTTTACTGTCGACATTTCCTCCAGTAAACATGACGTCTACTGAAGCTCGTACACACACACACACACACTCTGTAAGAGTAGCCTTTAGTCGGTGGAAATGCGGAGGTGACCTGTACTGTACCTCTCGGTGGAAGCGGGCCACTGGTTAGTTGATCGTGTGACTGGGAGATTTTCACCAGCAGTTAGAGTTTACTCCATGTTCTCCAGTTGTAAACCTCTGAGTTTCCTCTGAACGTTCCAGCACTCTCAAAATAGTCACCAGAAGAAAGCCGCATCACGTCCTCCACTGGCCTCAAACCGAGGAGGACAGGACGACCTTCAGCTGATGGAGAGCAGGAGAACGTCTGCGTCTGCTGAAAGCATGAAGGATAGAAGAGAGACGGCAGATGTTCCAGCAGGAGACGGTCAGCCAGAGCACACTGATGCTGACAGACTGCTGGAGTGAAGAGCACAGCCATGCGGAGCAGGACTAGAGTGCACTGCGCGCTGTAGGGCTGTAGTTTGGTTTGGGACACTCTCGGGCCTCTGTTTGCTGTTTTTTTTATATCTGGAGAGATGAGAGATCATCACAGTGGAGCTGGAGGAACGAGGCAGCACAGTGAGAAACCCACAGCTCTACTGCACAGACACATGAGCAGCAGCCGGGTCAGATGCGGACACTGAGGGGAAACACCCCATCACTGACCTCGCTCCCCCATCAGAGTCAGAATAACCTGCAGAGTTCTGCCAGATTACTGATGAGGACTTCCTCAGAGGACGCACTGAAGGACGGAGCCGTCTCTACTGATCAGCAGTTCCTCCTCATCTGCTTTGATGAAGCGTCTCCATGAGCTCAGGTGTGCTCTCGATACCTTTTCCTTCAGGAGTCTCTGGGCTGTGATTGGCTCTCTGCAACACTCATTTAATCATATTCTGCAACATTAACACACACACACACACACTGAGCCTGTAACAGCAGAAACCCTCCACTGAGCAGGTAACCCACACCTGTGGAGGAGCACCTTTAACCTGAATATCCCTCATTCAACATCACCGTGAGCTTCAGTCATCTACATACCATCAGCGTAAAATCCTGGAGAAAATCAGGCCAATCAGAACAAAAACAGACTCATTAATATGCAAGTCACGCCTTATATTGCTTCATCAGTGGATCATCATCATCATCATCAGTCCTTTATCGATGTGTCTCCAGCACAGAGAGGATCTACGTCACTTTCCAGAACCTTCTCCTTCACTGTTTCCCAGTGGTGGGCTGATCTTCTCATTCCCACACACACTGCAGACTCACTGCTGTCCTTCACACCACAGCTGAACCCTCATCATCTGTTCCCAGATCAGCTGAGCACTCCTGTACTCCAGCACTGAATTCTCTGAGCACTAACTTCCTGTGTATAATCAGCACTTCCTGTGTGTGCCGCCTCGCCGTGTGCATGTGCTGAACCTGCTGAGGGTACACTAATGCTCATCAGGTGTACAGGTGAGCTGCTTCACCATGAGCTGAAATATCTCAACACTGAAGTATGTTTATATAGTGTGTGTGTGTGTGTGTGTGTGTGTGTGTGTGTGAACATGACCAGAGCTCATTAATATTCATGATTCCTCCAAATAAGGTAAAAGCTGAGGCGGTACCTGTGTTTCTGCTGAATTAGACAGACTCCACTTTACAGTCTGGAAAACTCAGATGAGAAGGGGCGGGGCGTGTTGAATAGTCCCTCCTCTTTTTAAAAACAGCCAATAGCAGCATCAGTATTGTAAGTTTCTGCTCACATGAAGCTCTTCGGGCGAACCCCGCGGTGGACAGCAGCTCTACTCCTTCACCTTCCCTTTTCATGAATAAAGCCACACTAACCCCGCACACCTGTCCGCAGAGGGGCTTGAGTTTCTCTGTGTTGCTCTACAGTCAGTGTTTCAGCCATAAATGAGCATACAGAACCGTTAATTAGCCGGCTCATTTAAATATGCATGACAATTCATGAGCTGATTTGCATTGGCTAGTTGGGGCTGAGCGGTGCTTCGCTGTGCTTCACTGAAGGAACTCTTATAGGTGACGCGGAGGCTCCAGGGCCGCGGCGAGCTCATCTTCAGATCGGTTGAAGGAGGGAGCGGAATCAAACCGGAGACTTTGCGCTGTTTATCTTCATTCGGCTCATGTTGCTCCGCCATTTTGGCTCTATGTGACGTCACGCGTCAGGTGGTGTTGACAGCTGCGGGAGTTGCGCCGCCTTCAGCCACGTCAATGTTTCGGACGGTATTCGGTGCGTCCGGTTCAAGTGTCCGCGTTTCCCGGTGAATACAGGAGTTTGCGTTGCTGCGTGTCCTGCTGTCAGGAGCCGAACTGAACTCAGATCAGTGAATATTTGACCGTCAAACTTTCCCGCACTCGCGGAGCTTCAGCGCGCTCGCTGTCACTCGCTTTCCCTAATATATATGGAAGCCACGCCCCTTTATTTGCATTTCATAACAGCGCAGCCGCGCCGCCGCTGTCTGTGATCGCGCGATGCTCTGCGGCGACAGAACGACCGTCGCCGGATCCACATTACCGACAGCACCGAATCGCGGCGATTCTCGACCGGATCGTGACGCGTTCCAGCTCCGGGCTGCGATTGGCCGCTGAGCCCCGGAGGGCGTGTCCTGGGCGACGGCGTGGGTTCGCCTGTGTGACACAATTACAACAACTTTAATCTGGCGGCGGACAGTAACTTTCACCTTGTTTTACCGCGTTCGGGGTTTCTGAGAGCGATCGGCCGCGGAGGCATCGGGCCGCGGAGCGCACTTTATTCCCACTAAACAATGTGAGAAACGCGCCACCGGAGGGCCGACTCACTTCGCACGGGGCTTGAGGAACCGAAGCGCGCTTTACGGGGGAAAAGTTGGCTTTTATTGTGGCTTTTGGACGCTCGGAGCTCGCCTGCGCTCCACTGCACGGCGCGGTTCCATGAAGCCGTGCCGAGTGTCGGTGGCCGCCGCCGCTGCTCGACGCCTCAGCGCTGCTGGTGATGAGGAGAAGAAAATGGCGGCGGGAAAAGCGAGTGAACCCGAGGAGGAATCACCGCGGCTGAGCGCGCAGGAGAGCGACACTCTGGCCCGCGTCGACAGGTCGGAACCGCCGCTTACCGGAGCCCGCGAGCGGCTTCTGCGCTTTTGATAGTTTGTGGGTGTGAGAAGTGTGTGTGTGTGTCTGTGTGTGCGCGTGATGTGTATGTGTGTGTGTTGGTCAGAGAGTTGATCCGCAGCGCTGTGTGTGTGTGTTTGTGTCTGTTTGCAGCTCTCTGTTCGGATATCAGCGGCTTCATGAAGATGGCGCCAGCATGAAGGCCCTGCTCGTGAAGGTAAAGATGCTTGTGGAAAACAACACATCACACACACACACACACACACACACACACACACACACACACACACACACACACACGCAGTGCTGAGTGACAGTCAGTGGCGGTGTTTGTGCGGGTGTAAGGGCTGCTCCTTTCTTCGGACTCGAGCTCCGGCTGACCCGTCGCGCGGCTCCTCCTCTGCGGGCACTGGAGCTCTCTGCGGCGGGTGTCACTCCAGCAGGCCCCCGGTGACGGGCAGGAGCGGCCAGGCCTCGGTGTTTGAATTCGGGCTGTATTTCCTCCGGAACTCCTTTACCGTGTAGCCGCCGGTAATGGCTGCTTGGGTTGCCCAAGATGGCGGGGTGTGGGCCGGGGGAGAACCGGACTGCAGAAACCGGAGGAAATAACGAGCAGAGCCGCGACTGACCGCATCCCGAGCTCCGGGGCCCACCTGGGTCTCAAACACCTGATGGTGAATTTGGCAGTGAACACCACAGAGGAGAATAAGGGCCATAGTTACCTGTAATGAACACTATAGAGGGAACAACGGCCACAGCGACCAGTAGTGCACACTAGAGAGGGGACAGAGTTGGCTGGGATGTCAGACTCCTGACTGATTTCTGATCAGCTGTATTGATCATGTCTGATACTGCCTTCAGTCTGTCACCTGCTCTGTGTGTTTGATCACCTGTCTGAACTTGTACTTTGTGTGTGTGTGTGTGTGTGTGTGTGTGTGTTGCAGTTATTGGGGAGATGCAGGCCGCTTCAGGTCAGCACAGATCTGCACTGAGTGCGTCCCCATGTGAACGCAGGTTTCCTGGTTTCTTGTTCTGCAGTGTGTCAGTGAAGAACTGATCAGTAATCGATCAATCACCCCCATAATCGGCTTTATAAGTGTGTGTGTGTGTGTGTGTGTGTGTGTGTGTGTGTGTGTGGTTCTGCTTCAGCACTGTGTTATTGAGGCTTGTGTCATCAGCGGTGCTGTCAGAGCTGGAAGTAAAGCTGGAGTCTACAGAGGTGTGTGTCCATCATGAGTGCAGCTCTGCTCCTGTGCTGCAGGTGGCGCTGCTGTCAGGTGACCAGCAGAAAGGCTGCAGCTGGTTAGGCAGAGCGGGGTGGTTCTGCTGTGGGTTGTGAGCAGTGGGAGCCACAGTGAGGCTGTTTTTACACCGAGTGAAGCGGCTTATTCAGTCACAGAAGACAGGAGATGCCGTCACTTTTTAATAATGAAAGTAATGAGAGTGTAGTATTGGAGTTATTGCACTAGAGGAGAATCCCTGTTCTAGAGTGCGCTGCACAGCAGATCCGGCTGCACTGGAGAAGCACAGCAGTGCTGGGGGGGCATGGGGGGTTGTGGCGAAGAGGAAATTTCCCCACTGGTTAATCGACATGTGACAACACCGGTAATACCGGTATCACCGTGAGGGGGGGGGGGTCTCCTCTGATTCTGCTCGTCAATAGTTTATATATGTGTGTGCGTATTATACTTTCAGTTTTGCAGGAGTTGCCAGCACGCGCTGCATGAGCGCTACACACACTGCACTGCACACACCGGCAGCATGACGAGTGCTGAACTCCTGCAGGTTTATTTGTTCTGTTTTTGCGTTTTGTTCCTTTAAAACACCTTTTACTTGTAAAATCTCTCGAGTTGATATTGTCTCTCTGCTAACATCATCTCCCTCAGAGATATTGGAGCTCAGTAACGGGTATTGACCAACACCTCCTGTAAATGTGCACTGCACAGACTGCAGCTCTGCTGTGTTTAAGGGACAGTGAGCTACATTTAGCTTTTACTGTACAATATACATCATAACCCAGTACACAGTGAAGTAATCCGCTTGTTCAGTGGTGACGTGTTGGTGACGTGTGTAATACTGTTTCTGGGTTTGAGCCGGCACTCATTTGAGTGGGGAAATCATTCCTTTATGATCACTTTTTATTCCTATCACACATTAAAGGGAATTTAACATAGACTCATAGTGTACACAACAATCTCTGGGCTTGCTGCATCACAAATACCAACATTTTAACAATTTATGAAAAAATTAATCACTTTCTGGCCACCGGATATTAGGCATGATCATATATACAGTGATAGTTTTTTTTCGATAGCATTAAATCGCTTTGTAAACGTTTATTATTACCATTTCACGAGTTTCCCCATTCAGTTGAATAGAGCGCTTAAACCTGGAAGCCGCTTCGCGTGACGTCACGTCATTTCTGTATGGCTTGCCTGTTGGCGGTGTATATAGCCGTTGAGCTTAAATAGGCTGAGCATATCTTTATTAATATTAAAACACATTTGTCTGTTAGTTTCAGGCTGTAGTTTGACAGATTTGGCGAAGGCTTCAGCTATTCTACCTCTCAGCTCAGCTCAGCCTCAGTTTTGCTACTTGACTTGTGTGGCGTCTGTACCGATGTCTGAATAACAGCGAGAGAGCGAGATGAGATCACGTCACAGCTACTTTACTGCAGTTTATTAATAATGGCTCTTCTAAATGAACCTTTCATTCAATTAAAAGCAGAAATATAGCCAGACAGACGAAGCAACTATCGGTTTTTGAAGAGAGCGGCCTCGGTGATCAAAGACACACACACACACACACACACACACACACACACACACACTCACACACACACACACACACTCAGTCATGTGTTTATATTTATGGCTATAGAATCAATCAGGATATCCAGTTTCATATCATTCGAGATCAGTTACTATTGAATATTTGAACAACACATTTCGGTATATTAGGATTCTTTATTGAACACTTTAGATAACACCGTCGGGGAGAGCGCTTTCTTTAAGTAGTTTTAGATTAGTTGAGGTCGCTCTGTGATGCAGCAGAGCTGGTTGTTCACCGTGGTTTTATAAGAGCTGGACTTTGTGTGTGATTGAGCTGAAAGCGGTTGTCCATGCGGCAGGAGTACAGAAGCGGGTCATGTTAAACCTGTTGTGTTCTGTCTGGATGGGACTCTGGGTTCTGTCCTCCGCAGGTGAATGAACAGGTAAAGCTGTTCTGGTTCTGCTGCTCCTGGGTTCCTGTACAGCGTCTCCAGTAATGGGTTCTTGCCCTCGCTGAGGTTTGATCTGTTCCGGCAGCTGCGGCTCTACACCTCCACTCTCCGTCATACTGTGCTGCTTTCTGAGCTCTGCCTGCCGTATATCTGGATGATGGCAGTGTAAAGCAGTGTGTGTCTGCTGCTGTTCCAGGGTTCATACGGCTGCTGGAAACCCTGGAAAATGCTGGACTTTATTGTAGTGTTTTCAAGGTTAGAGGAGTGTAGGCATGCACTGATCCTGATGTTTGGATCGGATATCAGTTCAATACTGCCTAGTTTTGCTGGATCCGGTATCGGCCAGCTAGTACTGATCCAGATCTGATATTGCGCATGCGCTATATTCTGTATCATTTGTAAGCCATCAACAGCCGTGACGGTAGCCTATTACAGGGCAGCAGACAGTTGTGCTGTAGGCTATTATGTCCTAAATGTCCTGAAGCCGTTCTACAGTGTAATGTGAAGCACAGATGAATATTCAGGTGCTTAAAGTCATGTTCAGTTCAGCGCTGCACCTCTCCATCATTCTCCATTCTCTATTCCAGTGGTTCTCAAAGTGGGAGTCGGGACCCCCTGGGTGGTCGCGTAACAATGACAAGGGGTCGCTTGGTGATTTCCAAAACTCAAATAAGTTTTATTAAACTATTTGAAGGACCATAGGTCCCACTTTATATTAAGTGTTCCTAACTACTATGTACTGACATCACAAAATAAATACAGTGTACTTACTGTGTTCATAATGTATTTGAGAACACTTGTGGTACTTTTGAGTTGGGATAGGGGTTGGGTTATGGACAGGTTTGGTGGTGTGGGTAGGTTTAAGGGTAGGTTAAGAAGTAAGGGATGGTCAACAGTGTATTTATAAATGTAATTACAAAAGTTAATTACAGATGTAGTTACATACATGTATTAAATCAGCATAAGTACACAGTAAATACACGTTTTTACACAATAAGTGCATTGTAACAAACTATTAATACCTGTGTAAGTACATATTAGTTAAGGCAACTTAATATAAAGTGGGACCAAACAAAATTACTATTATATTAATATTATCTATTATAAACAAATAAAAATCAGTCATCAGCCTTTACTTTTTATATTATAAATTAATAAATGAATATAAAAAATATATATGGTAAATAGACTGTTGCATTTATGTTTTGTCAATGTGCTTATGTTTATACATGCCTATAGTTGTGTCTGCAAGGTTTATATATTTACAGTATAACCACCTTGAAAAATGGGGGTCGTGAGTCACTGACATTGTTAATTTGGGGGTCGCGGGCTGAAAAGTTTGGGAACCCCTGCTCTATTCCAACTGCGCAGTTCAGCTCTCTCCAACACCATCTGCTCCTGTTAATATCAGTGATCAGTGGAGATGTGCATTTACAGGAGCTCTGCATCTGATTCTGACCTGCAGCAGGAGTTGATTGCTGTTTCTACATCGTGTGTGTGTGTGTGTGTGTGTGTGTGTGTGTGTGTGTGTGTGTTAGACCAGCAAGTCATGACCCTCTCTACTCCACAGTAGCCTAGCTGAAACTTTAAATGAGGAAAGGCTCAATAATACACAGGACGGGTGCTCAGCGCACTGATCTCTCCTCTTTGGTCTGCTGTTTTGGAAGTGTCTGCAGATAGCGGAGGGCTGCGTGCAGCGTCAGTGCTGCGTCCAGCGCTTCATTCACACCCCGGCTGAACAGACGCGATGTGCGCCGCTCTGTAAGATTATTCTCACAGTGAGTTTCTGTTCTCTCATCCTCCTGACTGAGTTTATTCTCCCGAGGGGAAAACTTTCAGTGTGGTAATAGTCTGTAAAGCCCGGCTCACTGTGGTAATTGATTAAATTATTAAAGGTGAAGCTGACGGCGCAGTATGAATTGACATTAACTGAAGATTATAGAGGCTCATGTAGGCTACTCTGACACGGTCAATATTTCACTGTCATTCATTTATATCAGCGGTGTATTTGACAGACCGGTTTGTGTGTTGGTGCTGAAGCATATGAGCGGATCTTGTTTTGAACTGTCTCATGGTGAGATTTGGATATGCAGTAAAACTGGCCTCAGTTTAGTTGAGTCTGCTTAATCCTGCAGGAGAATATCAGGCGTTGCTGAAATGCTGATTATTTTACCAGTGAATATTGTCAATAGTGATAGCCTTCTACACATCTCAGAGAAAAATCTTATGGAAACGTCAGCTTGACCACAACAGAGCAGTGCCATGACCAACGCTCAAATACTGCAGTCTAGTTTACAGCAAGCATCATGTTTTAATGGTCATGGCATCGCTGCATCCACAGAAAAGTGCCTGAACCTGCTTTGATTTGAAACTGCAGCTGTTTTGGTTGCAGATGTGGCCGGATTTTATCTATTAAATATATTTGGGATTGTTTGTGTGAGTGGGTACAATAGTTTTCAGTTCGCATGTTCACCACATGTGCAGATTTAGGAGACATTCACACACAGAGAGCTTTTTTGCACCTAAAACGGCAAACGCAGCACTCGGGAATAGTTTAAAACTGTCGTCATGGCGACTTGCTGCAGTAAACAAATCCCACAATGCCCGCCATGCCTCAAAGCTCTTCTGATTGGCCCACTGCTCTTCAACTGAACCTGGGTTAGGGTTATTATCAGCTGTCCCTCGCCGAGTTCAGAAGAGCGAGAGCTACAGCTGTGAAAATGTGAGGGTCTGGATCTGAGAGAATCACAACTACACTGAAAGATTGTGTTTTAGGAACCAGCTAAAGTTACAGTAATGCCACATCTGATCAGGGCGTTCACCACACGTTTCAACCACGAGATGCTCCATTTAATCGTCACGATGTTGTCAGTCGTGCAACTGCAGTGTGTTCACCATCGCATTCAGATTAAACTAATGTTGCAGCTCATGAAAGACTGTAACTGCTGTTAGGATGATGTGTGCAAATAAGCAGAATATATACGCAGGTTTTAGTTCTGAAACACCCCAAATCATTCTGCAGATATTCAACAATGATGCGCAGAAATAGCAAAACCTGTGTGCAGATTCTGTCTGGCGCTAGCTGTGCGTCAGTATCTATCTCTCCTGGATAAGCGGGTTATTATTTCTGCTCTATATTCTGTCCAGTGCATGTTCACGTTTGCACTGTTTGCATTGCAGATTATTTCCTGACACTGTCCTGACCATGTGGGTTATTGCATACAGCTACACCAGCACCTCAGCCCTGACCTACAGTAATATGGACATTAATAAAGGGGAATGTTGATGAAACTGTGGCTTCCATATTCAGAACAGAGGAACAGTTCATTAATTAGCAGCAGGAGTAATCTCGCACTCATCAGGATTTCGTTTGACACATGAATGAAGAACAGTGATGCACATGACCTATCATGAGCGACGCTCACACAAACAGTCTGATCCTTCATCCAGTTACTGAACCATCAGGTGAGTTATCCCCATGAGTCTGAGCTCCAGAGTATTCTGCACTGAGCTGATCTGCCATATTGTGTTAAACAGCACACTGGATTTACACATGCAGAAGCACATACAGCACATATGACAGGATCGAGCACGCTGCTGCAGTGCTGGAGTTTGTAAAAGGTGTACTGACCCTGCTCCAGTACTATAATCCC